ACAGAGAAAAATACACACATCGCAGGCCAATGGTGAAACTGAAGTGTAGGGCTCTCCAATGGGAAGCCATTGGAGAGTTTTAGCAGAACACCAATTCGCCGTGGCTTACTTTTGTTTTCGCTGCATGAAAGATAGACCACAGAGGAACAAGAAAGCAGGGCAACCGGTCAGGCACACGTTGTTGTGGGCTGAGAGAGAATGGTGGCTCACCTGGGCTGGTGAAGTACTTTCATTTATGTTGCTGTGGTAAAATACACTGACAAAAAACAACTTAGGGGAGAAAGGAGTTTATTTCAGCTTATAATTCTAGGTAGTAGTTCATCATTGTGAGGAAATCAAGGCAGGCGCTTCAAATAGCTGGTCACATTACGTCCACAGTCCAGATCAGAGAGAAATAAACACGTACCCGCTTACTTCTTGCTTCCCTGCTTGTGTTCAGTTCGATTTGTCCACTCTGACGCAGGTCACAGCCCCTTGCCTAATGGTGCCACCCACACTTGGCTGGTTCTTCGTTAATTAAGATGGTTGTCCACAGACATTCCCACAGGCCAACCCAAAGTAGACAATCCTTCACTGAGACTCTCCCCAGGTGATTATAGGTGGCTGTTCTAGTTTGCCTACAATTGCTGTGATAAAACACTCTGACCAATACTAGCTTGGGGAAGAAAGCGTTTATTTTATCTTATATCTCCTGGGTCATAGTTCATCACTGAGGGAGCCCAAGGTAGGAACTCAGGGCAGGAAGCTGGAGGCAGGAGCTGGAGTACAGGCCATGGAGAAACACTGCTTACTGGCTTGCTTCTCTGGCCCCTGCTCAGCCTGCTTTCTTGTACAGAACCTGCCCGGGGTGGCACCACCCACAGTATGCTGGGCACTCCCATATCATTCAAAAATCAAGAAAATACCCCACAGACATGGCCACAGGCAGGCCAATGGAGGCAGTTCTCCAATTGAGGCTCCCTCAACCCTGGTGTGTCAAGTTGACCACTTAAGCTACCCAGCACAGTTGTCAAGTAGATAATTATAGCTGACCTCACAAATGGTGAAAAGGACAGCTGATTTGTATTTTGGTAAGTTCCTGTGTGGTCACGTTTGTGTCACTGGAGATGAGCTTACAATTTGAAGGTGGAATTGACTGGATTACAAGAAGTCACAGAGAGATGGTATGATTCAGTGAGGCCTGAAACTGGCTTGATTCTAAAGCCCAACTTGCCACAACTCTTCTGGGCTGCCGCAATGCTAAATATACACCAACCAAAATGACAGAGTGGAAATGGGGGTCCATAGCATCGTCAAGTATTTCTTGAGTGCTTACTTGTACTGAGGTCTCGTGCAACATGGCAAATCAACTCTAGAATGCATGGACAGGTCAGATTCCAATTTCTGCATTTACTATGAATTCTTGTTAGGGTGGGTCACGTGACATCCAATGGTCCTTGCAGCTATAGTGCTCTGTGATGTTACTATTCAGCACCTGGGGAGATATCACCAACTATGTACAGTGCCACCCACAGGTATACAAAGGAAGAGCAGACCAACAAGCATGCAATACTCCAGTTGTAAGAGTGGATGAGGGGTAGCAGGCAGGCAAGTGGTTATATTTCAGTTTCAGTGGTATTTGATCTGTGGATTGTAGTTACCAGGCTTCATGTCATGTCCAGACCAGTGCTAACAGGCTTTCTGGGATGGTGGGAGTGTTCTGATCTGTAGCACGAGACAGTTGACAAATGATCAGTGAACTAAGAATATACATTTTTGTTTTATGTATGTATTTAGTTACTTAGCTAGAGGACTATGTTGTTGAGGTTGACATTGAACCCCTTGAACCTAACTGATCCTCTTGCCTCAGGTTTCCAAGTAGCTGGGACTTCAAGGGCACACTACCGTGCCTGGCTTGGAACTAAAACCTTACATTAGTCTGGCCTTCCATTCTCATTGACCTTATCATTTCTCTAAGGGTGAATGCAGTCTCTCCAGTAGTTTTCCTGTGTCCTGTGTCACAAATTTATCCCCATCCATCCTTCAGGGGGATTTCTTCTAAAATCCAATAGGATCCTAGCACTTTTTTTGGGTAATGGTTCCTGAAAATGTCAGGAAGTTCAACCAGCTAGCTTGTCATATGAATACTTCCCTTAGGAGATGGCAGAGGATAAACACTTTCCTCTTGTTTGGCCAGATAAGTGATGGTTTTATTTTATTTTATTTTATTTATCAGCAAAGCCGCCTCATTTCCTTGAACCTCACTATACCTCTATACTAAATGGGCTTGATGATAATTATATCACAGAGCTGTGGAGACCAACAATGATTTAGGTGCCAATTCTTTGCACTTAATAAAAGACTATATAGATATTAGCTGTTGTAAAAAAAATACCGAGTTTTTAAGACTTTCTAAAGGCAATACCGGTCTGGTTTTATATAATGTATGTCTCTCTTTTTTTGGAAACAGGTTCTCACTATAGCCTTGGCTGGCCTGGAACTCACTAGGTAGATCAGGCTAGCCTTGAACTCCCAGAGATCTTCCTGCTTCTGCCTCCCCAAGTGCTGGGAATAAAGGCCTTTGCTAACCTACCTGGCATAATGTACGTTTTTATTTTTAAAGCCAATCTGCATGAGGCAACCATAGACACAGGTTTTTCATAGTCCTTCAAGAGAAAAGAAGATTGAAACAGCATAATTTTGACCTATTTATTCCAAATTCCTTTTGGAATTGTGTGCTTTCCATCTTTCTGTCTAAGACTCTGTTTTTCTTTCACATTTGTTTTTTTTTTTCAAAATATTTTATTTTTATCTTATCTGTATGAGTGTATTGTCTGCATGTATGTGAGTGCACCTGTGTCGTGCAATGCCACGGAGGTCAGAAGATGGCGTCGAATTCCCCTGGAACTCGAGTTAAGGACGGTTCGTAGCCACCATGTGGGTGCTTGGAATAGAACCCGGGTCCTCTGCAAGAGCAGTCAGTGCTCTTAACTGCTGAGCCATCTCTCCAGCCCCTCACATTTGTTTTTTATAAGAATGGTTTCAGAGGCTAGAGAGATGGCTCAGCAGTTAAGAACAATGACTGTTCTTGGAGAAGACCCGGGTTTGAATCCCAGCACCCACATGGCAGCTAACTACTGTCCATAACTCCAGTTCCAGGGGATCCTACAGCCTCTTCTGTCCTCCGCGGGCATTGGATGACACAGGTGCACTTACTTACATGCAGGTATAACACATACACAAAAAAGAATGGTTTCAGCAATAAACACCAAAGGATAGCTGATTCTTGGGAACTGATTGACAAAGATATCCTATCAGTATGTCAGAAAGAAAAGGTACTATCTTTTTAAGCATCTACAGAGACTTTTCAAAGGGTTTTAATGAATTCTGGTAGTTGTGGGATGAGTAATATTATAAAATAGGAATATAAATATTTTAAAAACTATTTTATTATTTTATGTGTATGAGTGTATTGCCTACATGTATGTGAGTGCACCCGTGTTGTGCAATGCTGTGGAGGTCAGAAAAGGGCTTCCCCTGGAACTGGAGTTAAGGGCAGTTCGTAGCTGCCATGTGGGTGCTGGGGCTCAAACCTGGGTCCCCTGCAAGAGCAGTCAGTGCTCTTAACCTCTGAGCCATCTCTCCAGCCCCAGGAATACAAAATATTTTTAAAACTGCTACCAGATAGGAAAAGGAAGAAGAGGGACATTTTAAACTCACACAGGGCACACTCTCCTCTCCTCCTCAGGTCATCTCAGAACATCTCAGGTCATCTCAGGTCATTCTAAGGTTAAGTGGACTTTTCATGCAACCACATTGTACTTTAAGATGGGTTTATATTGATGTTGCATTTCTCAATTCTGAAGGTTAGTGTGACTTCAGTATCATGAAACATGAGGATTTATTATCAGCGTGCTTTCTTCTGTCAAGAAAAGAGCTATACTTCATGATCTCTTGAGAAAAGTTGTTATATTGTGTATAAATGTCTACAAAACTCATAGGTGTCTACAAAACTCAGTTCCATGCTCCTGATTAAGACTTCTTCCAATACACATCTTTACTATCTTACAGTTGCAGTCAATACCTTCCTTCCTTCCTCAGTTTCCCTCCTTCTCTCTCTCCTTACCTCCATTTCTCCCTCCCTCCCGCTTTCTTTTTTGATGGACTCTTGTATAGCTCAGGCTGGCCTCAAACTTTTCACATAGCTGAGGATGACCTTGAACTCTTATTTCTCCACCTCCATGAGTGCTGGATTGGTTGGTACAATACACTAGCAGACTGGTGGCAGGTGTTCGTGCCTCCTTGCTCCTGATAATCAAATTTGCCATTCCTGCTAGGTGCTCAGTAAACTCCAGTACAGACTTCTGAGCACTTCCTTTGAGGTGGAGGGTGGGAAGAGACTGGAGGGTAAGGCTACAAAATCCAAGGAGTACTAGACTGAAAGTCACCTCTCCTCTGAGATCTCAGCAACTAGTCCACTTAATTTCAAGCCACTCTGCCGTTTTCAAAGGCATTAGCATATTTTAGATAAGTCTTTAAATATCTAAGAATTTTTATTATTTTTGGGGACGCAGATCTCACATATTCCAGACTGGCCTTGAACTCTCGGTATAGTTGAGGATGACCCTGAACTTCTGATCCTCCTGCCTCCACCTCCCAAGTGCTGGGATTACAGGCATGCACCCCCATAACCTGATTTATGTGGTGCTGGGGATTGAACCCAGGACTCCGTGACCACTACAAGGGCTCTATCTACTGAGCTACAGCCCCAGCCCTAAGCGGAACTTGCTTAAGACGAAGATTCTAGGCTATAGAAATCCAGGGCATCTAGGGAGGGCCACAGAGACCCAGTAGGTGAACCCGGTCAGCTTCCCAGAGAGAGCCCGCGAAGGGGGGGGGGGGGGGGGGGGGGTGGGGGAGCCGGCGGCACTCAGGGGCCCGGGGCAGCGCCGACCCCGCCCCTCCGCTCCCCGCCGGGGGGCGCATGCGCAGCCCGCGTTAGTGATGGAGGAGAGAAGATGGCGGAAGCGGAGTGAGTGACTTGCTGGTGACTAATGTCGTAACCGGGGGGCAAGTGGGGGCCGCGACGCGTCCCCCAGAGGGAGCGATCAGGGCTCCAGGGCGGGCGGTGCAGGGCTGAGGAGAGCCGCGGACCATGGTGAGGTGGGGGAGCGTGGCCAGGGGTGGGGGGCGGGG